GTACCCTATAGCATTCTAAATGTCTGTAAAGTTCAAAGTTAGTGTTAAACATGTAAACATATACTTAAAAATCTAAGCTTCTACAGACATGTTCAATAAGGGCAACCTTATCATTAATGGATTTCAGGATGAAATTGTTTTTATCAAACTGAACTGTAGATGGCTATATGTTTTACTTTTTCTAAAATATCATCCAGCTCAAGAGTCTACGATTCTATGAGAGACCCTTTTGGAAGGTTTTTTTTGTTGTTGTTGTTGTTTTCCTGATGACTTAGTTGCCTGGGCAGCCTTCATATCGGTGGATTGATGGCAAGAGCATTTCTCTGGCTATGTGACATGGTTTTTTGAATCATCTCAACTTCTATTGCAGAAGGCAATTATGTTGTATGTTGTCTGATGTTAAGTCAATTTTATGTGAAATACTTTATATTGGAGTTTTTTATTTAATACAGTGAGAACTTAGACTTCACATAAATAATTACCCTTGCCAAAGTATATTGGCTTTTATATGAATGATTTACAATTTGATCTAGGATGTGTAGTTCATGGAGACAGGAAGTGGTTCTATTTATCTTTTTCTCCTCACAACATGGGAACCCAAAGATACTATTAATAATATTTGTAAGAGGAGGCAGACTGCCATGCCAGATCAGAACCTCATTAACTTTTTAAAATGTTTTTTAGGCAAAAGCTGACTGTATGTCCTGTCATCGATGGGGAAGACCACCTTCGTTTGTTAAACTTTCAACACAACTTTATAACTCGAATCCAAAATATTTCTAATCTACAGAGGCTAATATTCTTGGATTTATATGATAACCAGATTGAAGAAATTAGTGGGCTTTCTACTCTCAGATCCCTCCGTGTCCTTCTGTTGGGGAAAAACAGGTAATCTTTGTAAAGTGGTTTTTGTTTATTATAGTTAAGATTAATGTTGAGTCCTGTGGTGTTTGGATGGCAACTCAGAATTGAAAAAATAGTTAAGAGCTAATAGACTGAATTTTTTGAAAGATTATTTGAATGGATTAAGATTCAATCATAATTTTTTTTATGATATTCATTCTGACAGTTAGTCAAACCACATAACATTTATTGAGTGTGTATTTTGTTATTTCCATTGCTTTGCAGTGCTATATCTTATGTGGAAGTAAATTGCAGAGTTTGGCTTTTATGTTTTTTTGGATGTATTTTAAGCACGTGTGTTCACGTTAGGCATATGTATTTCACTAGCGATTCTTCTCAGAGCTGGATCGAAGGTGGACATTTTATAATTTGTGATTGTCAAATTACTGATTGATTTTTGTTCAGATGGTATTTTCAGTATGGATTTAAGATTACATCCTATATGAATGTCCCCAGTTCTTTTCATAAGGCTCTATTATGTAGTGTAGCTATACAATTCTTGACTGATTTCCTTGAGATTTGTTCATGACTTTTCTCTCCATTCTGCTTCCCTGGATAGCTTTTGCAATGCCTAGAAAGAAAGACTGTTTGGAAAAATCCAAAAATGATTTTTATATTATCAAAAGATGAAGTTTAGAAAAATGGTATTATACCCAAGCTTGGTTACTCTCCCCCTGCCTTACCCCACCCCCCAAGCATGGATCTTGAATTACCTCTTTATTCTCATTAACCAACAGTAATAAAAGATACTTTTTCCAAGATCATGTTCAAGAGTTCTAAGTTTTTATCTATTCTCTGGTGTTTCTTGCAAGTTCCTGTCGGTGTAGTCTATCACCTACTATTGGTTCGAGTGTTAAACTAAACATTATAGTAGCATGAGGGAATTGGGGGGAATTCTAGCATCATATAGTATTAAAGCTTGAAGTGATATCAGAGATCAGCTCTAATTTTACAGTTGGAGAAATAGAGATGTACAGTCACTTTTGCAAGATGGGACATATGAGGTCTGACGATTAGGTTTGCGAGCCCATCCTAGAAAAAGT